GAAGTGCTCTTCCTCTAGATGGGATAGAGATATGATAGGACTTTGCTATCAAGAACCTTCTGAGCATATTTTACAGTGGTCACTCTTCTCTACCCCTACCAGAGCCTTAAAAGGATCTTTCTCAATTTTTTACCCTGAGAGCCTGGTGGGATTTCTGGAGTTTAAATTTACAAAATAAGGACCCACCTCATTATTACTCCTAGGAGTTTTTGACTCTTGCTAGTCCACATTCAACTTCCAGAAATTCCATCTTTACCAACTCCAAGTTATGATGCTTTGTTCCTACCCGTTTTTGGCTCCACATCTACTTCAAATAAACAGATCTCAGCTCTGGTTTTGGATCTGCCTGTGTCTCCAGTCTGGTGGTTTTCCTTGTGACCTCAGTTTTCTGATGGTGCAGGAGAAGTTGATTTACAGCTTGTTCATCTTTCTGGGAAGGATGGGAGTTACAGCTTCCAAGTTAGTTTTGAGCTAAAACCAGAAGTTATTAATTGTTCTTCTCTGATCTGAGGCTATTTCTTTAGAAATTCCCTTTGCTCCCTGCTTGTATGAGAACCTTGGATTTCTGAATCCCCAATTCAATTTTTTCTTGGTAGACTTATTTTAGTGGACTCTTTCCAGTATCTTCCCAGGAAAGAGTGCCCAGGAGTAAAATTTTTAAGACTTTTGAAAATTTGAAATCTGCATTTGAAAATTGCAGATTCTACCTTCAGATCTGAGTCATATGTTGACTCTACTTGAGGCTATAAAAAAATTCCTTAAGAATTTTGATGGCGTAACCCCATTTCCTTCTGGTTTCCAATGCTGTTTTTGATAAATTTAATGCCATCATTATATCCAGTCTTTTGTGTTAAAAAAAACTTTCACAATTTTTTCTTCCTTGCTTTCTAAAATCTCACTGTCATATATACTTTGTTGTGGGTCTTTTTTATTCCTTATGTTGAGACCTTGATGGACTCTAATTTTAGGACTTTTTAAGTATGTCTTTGAAAATTTTCTCCTAGTTTTTTTCTCTTCCATTCCTATTATTTTGGATGTTTATTTTTCTGCTTGAGTCTGTTCTTTTTGCTCTCTTTCATCATTTTGATCTACTTTCCGGGAGACTTCCTCGATTTTGTATTCAAACTCTTCTATGAATTTTGTGTGTATGTATGTGTTTACTATGTTTTTAATCTAGTCACCTGAATATGCCTTTTCCCCCCTTTGCTTCATGGATTGTCTCTTAACCCTGTTAAGATTTTATTATAGTTTTTATTAGAGATTTCCCCACTCCAGGTTGATTTTTTTTTTTTTTTTTTGCATTTTTTTTAGATCCTTGACTCCCCACTCTTATTTAAGATTGAAGCCTAACAAAGAAGCCAGTGGGTCTGTGTGAGTTGATCTTATCTACTGATGGGATTCACTACAGGGTGTGAGGTAGGGATATGGCTATTTGGATGGAGACCTCCTGCATATATCACAATCTGTAGGTCTTCTTCTTCGTGCTGGCCAGTCTCTATAGAAGGTTGATCTCTTATGTTAACCCAGGCTAGAAGACACGACTGTTCCTAGAGACATTACTTCCTTCTAAAGACTTCCAAACAAACCTCTTATTTTCTTTCATCCATTACCTCCATCTTCAGAGGTAACAGGTACTTCTAATTTCTGAGCCTTTGAAGAACTCCATCTTGCCAATTAGTGTGACTCTTGTTCGCTTCAATCTATACTGCTCCATCTTGTGTGCCCCCCCCCCCACAATATCACCTGAAGGCCCAGAGTTTCCTCAGTTCTGATAAATCAGTTCTCACTCTTCAACTGTTTACCCGCTTGTGAACTTCTTGACATCATTTTTGTGCTTATGCATCCTTTCCTTTTCTCTTGTTTCGTTTTGAGTTTATGCCTCTTTTATTCCTTTACCGTCTTTTAGCAGGGTCACAAAAGGGAGTAAAAATAAGCAAATGCATTTATTCAGAGTCTTTCTCAAATTACAACCCTATTTACTTTGGTATTGTAACTGGTTGTGAAAAGGGCATATTTTTGGCTTTTGTTTCTTCATTCCAAGTCATTCTGACAACAAGAACTTGAGAGGAGACTGAAAAAAGGATGGCATTTTTGAATTTTTAATCTTTTAATGAGATACTACTATGTGACTACTAATATTTCTCTACACACCATTAGCGTTCAAGCTAACTTGTAAATTGCACCTGACCAATTCACTCTGATCATCTTTCTGCATTTTGGTCTCTCTTGACTGTTCAATGAGAGGAGCTCTTTTTCTCTCCCTTCTCCATGGCTTCAGTTCTGTGATGGATGTATCTTAGACCAGCTTTCACAACTCCAATGTCACAAAAGTACTGCCCATCAAGTTTACTTCTGATATCAGGTAGTTTTGCCCATGGTGTTTACATAGTGTTTACTGGTCCTGTAAAAGACATTTATAGAGCAAACCCTGCTTGTGTGTACTCAGATGCAGAACTATAAAACGACACCTAAACTGCCTACTAAAAGTTATATAAGTCAGAGAGCTAAATATCAGGTAAAATATTTTATTTAAAACATTAAACATGGGGGTTTATACCTTTCCTTAAACAGTGCTGCCTTAGCAACAGCTGGAATAATTTGAGATGCTCAGATTTATCAAGAAAGTATTCAAGCAACAATTGTTGAGTATGTATGTGTTCAAGCCTGAGATGGCACCTGGAGGAATATGAAAAAAAAGTAAAATATTGTTCCTGCTCTTCCCCAGACATTGATCCTCCTTTGGATGAAAAACATAGGCTTGTCATTTGATACATGAGACCTAATATTCTTACTGCCCCGTTGCTGAGACAAAGCTACATATGAAAAATGCTAGCAACACAACATGACACATCTAAATGTTTAATCATCTGTCAGAGACAGGCAATGCTACAGACATTCAGATCAGGAGGTCAAAGGGAATAGAAGCAGAAATCAGAAACGTTGAATGAGTTCCTACTCACGAAGTCTGTGTTTTAGGTGATCTGGGAACACATAGAGGGAGAAATCCCTAGCGACTTAGATTGGCCTTCAATGATGCACTGTATTCGTATGGAGGGAGAAAAAAAGATATCCCATATGAGAAGTACATGGACCACAAAACACAGTGACAAAAGAGATGCCTGTGTGACTTGGAAGGGGGACGGGCAATGGTCTGCCTAGATTCAAGTGTTCATGCTTCAGAGAAGCAGGTAATGAAGCTGGATTGTAGAGAAATAGAATCTTAGTTTTCAGAAGAAGGAAAAACAGCACACTGCATCACAGAAGCCCCTCAGTTTAAGGCACAACTTTGCTGCATTTTTAAATGATGTTAAATAGGGAAACATTCACACAGCCCCTTCATAACCAAACTATATTTGTGGTTGCTGTCCTATTGATTTGTAGCCCTTAAATTGGAATAGGAGTATCCCTTGGACTAGGGGGAAAAATAGAGAAATTGGGATAGTCTAAGTTCGATTTAAATCACTGGAACAAAGGAGGCATATGATTTATCCAGTCTGGCAACTATGGGACACATTTCCCTGGCCCTTTGGACCGCCCCCGTTCCCCGAATCCCCTTCCCAGAGCAGAAGAAGGTTGGTGGGGTACTTTGCCGGATTTCAGGTAATCAACATTTCAAAGACTCTGGATTAGGCTCCACTGTGGAAGATGTAACTTTGGTATTTCGCGCTTCTTCGTCTCTCTTGATCTGCCTAAAGTAAGTAGGAGGGATTTCTGGGGCATGCTTGCAGGCGGAGGGCAGTGGGCCTTGGAGGTAGGATGAAACTTTGGTGGTGATTTTTGATAAATAACTTTCCATCAACTTCTCAAATCCCATCTCTCAGTAGATAAAGATGCATCAGGCTACCTAACAGTCACTGTAGATTTGCGGGACGCGGTGGCCAAAGTGGGCTTGAGCAGCCGAAGCTATGGCCTTAAATTGTGATCTGCTGACGACGAAGGCGACCCCGTTAGCAGGCTGAGAGATTTCTTTGTCCCTGCACACTTCATGCTTGACACGATGCCTAAGCAAACAGAACAGGCAACCGCTAGGAGGTAGCCGCGCTATTCGCCCGGCCGCCAGTGGTAGCAGACACTATGGGTATCTGGACCCCGCCGGCGCAGGCGGGTGGCGCTTGTCTAAGGTCGGGGTTGCGATAAGCTGGTCGGTGGAGCTAGAAAGACGTCGAGGAACAGACGGCCCGGTCGTGTAATAGGGCGAGAAGGCGACCGCGCCTCTAATGCATTGTCACGTCCCGAGGTCGGCTCGCTCGGCCACCAGCCGCCCTCACATCTGGATGCGGCAGCACCCTTCCCCGCAGAGCAAGAGCAAAGGCGAGGCGGAGGACCCCGAGGTGTAAGCACCTCCTCGTGCGCGCGCGCGCGCGGGCCCGCGAGCGTGTGTGCACGCCTGCGCGCGCTCACAGAGGCCGCGGGAGCCGCGGCTTCGGGACCGGGGAATGGGGGTGGGGGCCCAGCAAGGACTCAATCTCCGCCGGCCTCCTCGCGCCTCACTGCGGGTTAATAACCAACCAGTTAGAGAGAGCGGAGGGTGACGGCGGCGGGGTGATAGCCCCGGCGAGCCGGCTGCGTGTCGGAGGGACAGGCTATCCGCCAGCCTTGGCCACGCTCAGGGATTTCAATATATACATTTGGGTGGAGGGGGGTTATTATTTATTGTTTTTATTTTATTGTTTGCCTCTACCTCCGGAGGGACCAGAGCGGGAGAGGGGGGTTCGCTCTCCAGCCGAGCGTCGCGGATCTGAACGGGTCAAAGGAGGCAATTTCGCGGGTGGGGGAAGGAGGGGAGACCTTGATTTCCACCAATCCCCGGGCGTGTGTCTGCGAAGTCCCGGGCGCCGCGGAAGGCTGCGGCGCGCCGCTGAATTCACTGATGAGAGCGAGTTCTTTTCTTCTCCGGGAGGGGTGGGGAGCGGGGGTCCTGGCAAGCCAGGAGGAGAAGCCCGGGGCGGGCTAGCGGTCCCGGCCGCCGTGGAAATTTCCAAGGACTTGGCGCGTCTAGGAGCGGGGAGAGGCGGCGAAGGGCGCAAGAGCATCTCTCAGAAAGGGACGCCGCGGGACAGATGTCTGGGAGGGAGCTGAGCCTCTCCCCGGACCCACGCCGAGGGCGACGGTGATGCTGCAGAACCGGCGGGAGCAACACCCCGCCGCCGCCCCCCACTTCACCCCGCGCTCTCGGAGACCCCGGCGCCCGCCTTCTGCAGGGAGAAACGACCATGGCCGTAGCTCGTGACTTGCTCGCCGGCCACTTACCCTAGCCAGACATCCTTGGAAAAGTTGCATTGGAAAAAAAAATCTTTGCGCTGACCTTTGGGGTCCTGGGTGCCCAAGGAGCGGGCGTCCCAGTGCGTGCAAGAAAGCGGAAGGTGTGTGTGCATGGGGGGCCGGCGGTGGGGGGACCCTCCGCTGCCGCTGCGCCTAGCCTGGTGCTGAGGCTCTGGCCGTCGCCCCCAACCCCCCACCCCGGGACCCGGGGGCTGCGATGAGCCCTTGCGGGCGGGCCCGGCGACACACATCCAGAGGGGCCATGGCCGTCCTGGCGTGGAAGTTCCCGCGGACCCGGCTGCCCGTGGGAGCCAGTGCCCTCTGCATTGTGATCCTCTGTTGGCTCTACGTCTTCCCTGTCTATCGGCTGCCGGACGAGAAGGAGATCGTGCAGGGAGTCCTGCAACAAGGCACTGCGTGGAGGAGGAACCGGACGGCGGCCGGGATCTTCAGGTACTCCTGCCTTCGCGGCTCCACCCCACTCGTGTCCTTTCCTCCCCCGGGGCGCCGAGGACAGGGTCACCGGCGAGGACTGCCTCGCAGCGGCCCTTTCATCCCCATCTTCTTATCCTCCTCCCTTTCTTTGTCGTTCCCCAGCCTGGAGACGGTAGTCAGGGGCCCTTCCCCAGCCCTTAACCCCGAGAGATGTGCGGACAGCTGCCCTGGCCATGGAAAGTCTTTTCGCCTTTCTTCCCAAGCCTGGGTGGTAGTCAGCGATTTGCCTGATGACCTAGGAGAAGAAGCAGCTAGGCTAACTTTGTCCCTTGAACTTAATGAGGATGCATCTCGGGCTCTGTAGAAGTTCAGAGCAGTGGAGAACTAGAAGCAGGTACCAGGCATCTTCCTGGGGTTTGGTGAATGGTTGGTTCGAGAAGTCACTAACGAGGGAGTCGTGGACGGTGAAAACATGGACACCCAGCCTGGCCCCGCTGCTTTGTGCACTGAGCCCATAATAAACACAGGACACTCGTTGATAACCCTGTCTGCTAAAGAGTCAGGGACTGGGTGATTTTTACTGGGGCTTTATCAACTTTCTAATAATGGATATTATATCCTCATTGTACCCCCACCCTCAAGCTAAATCTTCAGGAGGAGGAGTTAATTTCCCCCAAGGTCATATACCTTTGCGGGGTCAGAGCTGGAATTTTTGTCACATAAAGCAATTTTGCTCGGCTTACACGGTTTCTGTCTTCTGGTGACCGGGGGATGTGCTTTAGGCAGGGAGTTGAAATCAGAAAACACACAAAACTAAAGTCAGCTTGGAAATCAGAACTCTGAGGATCACTCAGAGGTCGAAGTTTCCCTTCCTTTCTGGGACGTTTAAGGGGCTAAAAATGAGTTCTTGGCAGGAGGGGCTGTGCGGGAAGACCGGAGGTGAGGCAGAGAGCTTCCCTTTTTTTCTTCTCGGTCCTCCTGGTCATGTTGAAGGGACACCCTGGTGCTTCTTCCACGGTCAGGGGCCCCTTTCACCTTCACCCTTCAGCTGAAGATGCTGCGCTTGACTCTTCCTGTGATGGTTGCGATCTAGGGATATGGAGGGGGTAGAAGTGCTTTCCTATGCGGAGCAAAGGCATATAGGGCCAGGTGAGAACCAACTGAAACAGTTTCACAGCTGTTACAAATGCTCAGAAACATCTGTAAATTAAAAAAGATAACAAACAAACTTTGAAAACATATGGTTTCCCTCCGTTTCTCAGACCTGCTCCTGGAAAGAAGGTCAAAGAGGTAAACAGCCAATCCTTGCAGGGAAAGGCAGCGGAATTCTCTAAACTGGGAATTTCCTTTGCTCTCTTTAGAATACTGCTATCATTAAGTTTAAAAATAACCCCACTCCCCTTAAAAATATATAAGAGCTCATTTTCTCTCACCTTCACAGTATTGATTGTTCTACTCAAAGGGTATAGCGTGCAGCAGTTCTTTGCTCTAAAGACCAAAAGCACTTTCATTTCAAGTAATATAAGGAAATTAGTTCAGAACTTCCCATTCGTTTGCAATGAATGAGCCCATTTTTTGTATAGGAGAAGCAAGAATGAAGCTCTGTTAGAGACTGGATTTCTTTTGCAGGACATCATCAAGAGGAAAATGCTTCATTTTCTGAGAAGCCCAGGCGGGTTGTTCCTGAGACACACTTTCCTCTTGCTGTCTGTAGCCTGGGGTGATCTTCACTGTGCTTGGCTGGCGTGTGGGTTAGTCTCTTCGTGCAGAGAATTACTTAGGAAAATCCACATGAATTTGAGCAGACTCAGGGAGACAGTGAAAGACAGGGAAGTCCGGTGTGCTACAGTCCACGCGGTCACGGAGTCGGACACGACTTAGCGACTGAACAACAAGTGAAAACTGTGAACACTTATCCCTCGAAGTTAGTGTTTATAAAAGTATGTAAGAGGTACTGCTGAATGTAGGCTGCTTGACTCAGGCAGTAAAGAATCTGCCTGCAATGCAGGAGACCTGGGTTCAATCCCTGGGTCGGGAAGTTCCCCTGGAGAGGGGAATGGCAACTCATTCCAGTATTCTTGCCTGGAGAATCCCATGGACAGAAGAACCTGGTGGGCTGAAAAAGAGTGGGCTTCAGAGTCGAATCCTGAGTTTATAGACTGCCATGACTAGGTAAACAGCAGAGTATCTTCAGCAAATTACTCTATCTCTTTGAGTTTTAGTTTTAGTATGAATAAATGGAGATAATAACATCTACCTTGCAGAGCTGGTTTAAAGTTTAAATAGAAAAAAAAAACAAAAAAACCAAACCATTGACTGCCCAGTGTCTGGCACATATAACCAGTCAATAGTATCATTCCAGTTTTATAAATTGTAAATTGTGAGTTGTAAATGTTACAACTTAAATAAGGACACTTGACCAGGCCAGAAGAATTTGGAATGTTTCACCTGGCAGATTTGCAAAGAATCATTATTGGTCCTTATACCCGCCACTGCCCTCCCCCGCTTTACACTGAAGTTAATAAACAGGGAGGAGGATTTTGAAAGATAGTCAAAGTATCATTGTTTGTTAAGCCTTTTTGTTTTTTACTCCGGATGTTTAATTGATTTTTTAACATCTGGATCGTCAGTACGTAGATAGTAATGGTGTTGTTCAGTCTCTCAGTCGTGTCTGACTCTGTGACCCCATGGACTGCAGCACGCCCGGCCTCCCTGTTCATCACTATCTCCAGGAGTTTGCTCAAATTCATGTCTGTTGAGTTGGCGATGCGATCCAACCATCTCATCCTCTGTTGTACCCTTCTCCTCCTGCCCTCAATCTTTCCCAGCATCAGGGTCTTTTCCAGTGAGTCAGTTCTTCTTATCAGGTGGCCAAAGTATTGGAGTTTCAGCTTCAGCATCAGTCCTTCCAATGAATATTAAGGATTGATTTCCTTTAGGATTTGACTTGTTTGATCTCCTCGCTGTCCAAGGACTCTCAAGAGTCTTCTCCAGCACCACAGTTCAAAAGCATCAATTCTTTGGCGCTCATCTTTTTTTATGGTCCAGCTTTCACATCCATACATGACCACTGGAAAAACCGTAGCTTTGACTAGACGGACCTTTGTTGGCAGAGTGATGTCTGTACTTCTTAATACACTGTCTAGGTTTGTCATGTGGTGGTGGGTTAGTCACTAAGTCATGTCTGACTCTTGTGACCCCATGGTCTGTAGCCTGCCAGGCTCCTCTGTCCATGGGATTCTCCAGGCAAGAATACTGGAGTGGATTGCCATTTCCTTCTCCAAGATATCTTCCTGACCCTGAAATCAAACCAGGGTCTCCTGCATTTCAGGCAGATTTTTTACTCACTGAGCTATGAGGGAAGCCTTGTGAGCTACGAGGTTTGTCTGTTTGTTAAATATGAAACAGGTCAGCCGAAGCCTTTTTGTGTTAAGGAGACACAACTTTGGCAAACAGGTATCTGTGTTTTCTAGTCTGACATATCTTCTGCACAAATACAAACACATGCATAAATGTACCATGTACACTTATGTGTGGGGATACATACACGTTTATTCATAAACCATGGAATGATGTATGTATGTGTATTGACATAAATACATATATTCATATATGTATGCATGCATACTAAGTCTTTGTGATGCTATGAACTGTGGCCCACCAGGCTCCTCTGGGTTTCTCCAGGTGAGAATACTGCAGTGGGTTGCCAATGCCCTCCTCCAGGGGATCTTCCTGACCCATGGATCGAACCCACAGCTCCTGTGGCTCCTGCATTGTAGGCGATTCTTTACCACTGAGCCACCGGGGAAGCCCACATTCATATATACACGCATGCAAATAATTGCAGCCAGTCAGCCAACCCATATTTAATGAGTGACTACAGTGCACCAGATTTGAGTTAGGCCCTCGAGGATAGCAGTGGACAAAAGGATGGACAGCTGCTTTCTCTGAGACAGCTTACCTCTTCCTGTGTGGTGACTGACAAAAACATATGAGGAAAGAATGTGGTTTAAAGTCTTCTAAAATACTGTGAGGACAAAAGAAAGTGTTTGCTTAGGTTTATAAGCATTGGAATTTCAGATTCCATTTTGCCTTTTGTGCTTCCACTTATTTTTGTGATTTTCTTCTCCAAGCTTAGAACTTGTTACATGTCTGACCCCTCAGAGGGGAATTTTGACAAATCCCCTGGGAGGATGGGGAGCAGCAAGAAAGCAAGGAAGCTTTAAGAGTTTTGCTAAACAGAAAGTTTCCCTCTCATCCACATAGCGGTAGAAAGATACATAAATCAGTTCACCCTACCATAGAGACTTAAACTTTCTAGGCAACTCTTGCTGCATCTGATTAAATAGTCAGTTCGCAGGCTCTATGTTGAGTGCTCAGTTGTGTCCTACTCTTTGGGACCCCGTGGTCTGCAGCCTTCCAGGCTCCTCTGTCCATGGGATTTCCCAGACCAGAATATTAGAGTGGGTTGCCATTCCCTTCTCCAGGGGATCTTCCCTGATCCAGGAATTGAACCCATGTTTCCTGCATCTCTTACATTGGCAGGTGGATTCTTTTTTTTTTTTTTCAGTTGGAGGCTAATTACTTTACAGTATTGTAGTGGTTTTTGCCATACACTGACATGAATCAGCCATGGGTGTACATGTGTTCCCCATCCTGAACCCCCCTCCCACCTCCCTCCCCATCCCATCCCTCTGGGTCATCCCAGTGCACCCGCCCTGAGCACCCGGTCTCACGCATCGAACCTGGACTGGCTGGCGATCTATTTCATGTATGATAATACACATGTTTCAGTGCTATTCTCTTAGATCATCCCACCCTCACCAGCAGGTGGATTCTTTACCGCTGAGTACTTGGAAGGCCCTTAAGTAGCATGAGGAGAGTTGCATTTGTCTCTTCTGTCAGGTCCTTACCCACTATGTTTGTTCCTCAGAAATAAGCTTCTGCTCAGGGTTTGTGTGCAAGGCTTTATTCTTGGCACCTGACATGGTAACAGTGACAACAAAGCCAAAGAATTA